TTTTGTATTTTTAGTAGAGACGGGGTTTCACCATGTTAGCCAGGATGGTCTCGATCTCCTGACCTCGTGATCCGCCCACCTCGGCCTCCCAAAGTGGTGGGATTACAGGCATGAGCCACCGCGCCCGGCCATGATTTGCTTCTTAACTCTTCTCAGGTGGATCTAAGGATTTTGCCAACTCTTTTTTTCTAGGGACATGCTGGGGTTGGGCACTGGGCATGCAGGAAGGAACAGAGGACACTGGCTGGGAAGGGAGGTGGGATACCCAGTCAAATGTGTGTATTTCAGCCAGATAAATGTCAGCAAAAGCCAGAGGAGTGGGTGAGAGGAGCTCAGCTGTGCCAGGAGAAGTGACAGGAGCTGAGCTGTGCCAGAAGAGATATGTTTGGACAGCAGAGAATTGCAGAAAAGGTGCACATCTAGGCAACAAGCGTCCAGGGAGCTGTTTGTGGCTGGAGCCCCTGGAGCTGAGGCCAGAGAGTTTGGCTAAAGCACAATGTGGATTCCAGGGCCAAAGGCGGCCTGCAGAGTGTGTGAATTTTGTTTTGCTTTGCTTTTAAGGGCTAATACGATGCCAAAGGGATATTACAGCTAATTACTGTCTGCAAGAGAGACGCCCCAGAATTCCAGTGGAAATGCAATGAAGTCCCTGCTCATGTTGCTTCCAACAGGTGGACTCCTGGAATTCTCCTCCAGCTGGGAACTCAGGGACCCAGGCTCCTTTCTTTGCGGGACTCTGATTTGAATACCAGATTCCACCAAAGTCGTCCTGGGGCTCAGCACCATTCCACACAAACCAGAGGAAGAAAAGGCATGGAGGGTGGCCCAGGGGAGGTTTCCGTGGGCTGAACCTGCTTGCCTGGCTGGATTTCAATCACACAACCGTGCCTCCATGCAAGAGTCTGGGAAATGAGTGGCCCTGTGTGCCAGGAAGAAGGCAAATAGGTTTGGAGATCAGCTGCAGAGATAATCTGATAAGCAAGACTCCCTTCCTTCTCTGAATGCAGCCATGCAGGCCCCAAATTCCCCTTCCCAACAGCACCTTTTTTTTTTTTTTGAGATGGAGTTTCACTCTTGTTGCCCAGGCTGACACCATCTGGGCTCACTACAACCTCTACCTCCCAGGTTCTAGCGATTCTCCTGTCTCAGCCTCCCAAGTAGCTGGGATTACAGATGCATGCCACCACACTTGGTTAATTTTTTTATTTTTAGTAGAGATGAGGTTTCATCATATTGGTCAGGGTGGTCTCGAACTCCTGACCTCAGGTGATCCGCCCGCCTCAGCCTCCCAAAGTTCTGGGATTACAGGTGTGAGCCACTGCGCCAGGTACTTTTTTTCCCTTAATACTGTGTGTGGAGATCGCTTTGTCACAGCACATAAGGAACATGTCCCCATTCTCTTCGACAGTTTCATGGTATTCCTCTGGATACATGAAGTAGTTTTATTTCATGAATTTCCTATGATGGACATTTAGGTTGTTTCCAATCTTTTGCCACTACAAACAATGCCACAATATATGTTCTTGATTTGCTTAAGAAATTAATAGAAATGAGGCTGGCACGGTGATTGGATTACATGCCTGTAATCCTAGCACTCTGGGAGGCTGAGGTGGGTGGATCACTGGAGGTCAGGAGTTCAAGACCAGCCTGGCCAACATGGTGAAACCCCGTCTCTACTAAAAATACAAAAAA